ATGGACAGTAAACAACCCCCAAGCTGAAAGATGACATTTTCGCGAATGTTGGCAGGGAATGTTCTTGTATTGGAATATTGCCAAGATGTTTGAATATCATTTTTCAAAATGTAATGTAGCTTATAGATTCAGGATTTTAATCTTCCATTCACATCAATCCTGTCTAGACCATTTAGAAAGTCAGATTAAACTTTATTCTATGTTAGGTCCAGGTGTATTATTTTGATATTGGTGATCAAAATCTGGATCCCACAGTGAAAAAGCAGCAATAATCTAATCTGTAAGGGTAGTGCACAGGCCAGGAAAGAAGGGCCACAGATAACTGGTTTTGATTTAATCTAATATAAAGTACTCTCCAAGGTATAATTTAAAGAGGTAAACCATGGCAGGAGAGCTCAAAGCTTTGGTTTGCTCCTCTTACTCCATGTGGCAGGATGGGGACAGTTCCAGTCTCACCTCCACCTCCCCCGCACCCCTCCCGGTCAGCATGTCTGCAGGATATGTCTCCAGTTACAGCTCCTGGAAGCTCGAGTTTTAGAGCTGGAATGGCAGCTGGGAACTGTGGAGCATCCACAAAGCAGAAAGCTTTGTGGGTAGAACATATAAAGAGGTGGTCACACCGCAGGGTCAGACTCTGCAGGCAGGAAGGGAATGGGTGACCACCAGACAGAGCAAGAGAGATAGGCAGGTAGTGCAGGCATCTCCTGTGGCCATTCTCCTGCAAAGCAGGTATACCGTTTTGGATATTGTTGAGGGGTGGACTTCTCTGGGGAAAGCTGCAGCAGCCAAACTCTTTGCACCATGGTTGTTTCTGCCGCAGAGGGGTAAAGAGTATGCCAGGGCAATAGGTATAGGGGACTCGAGGGGAATAGACAGGCATTCCTGTGGCCACAAACGAAACTGCCAGGGGATGGTATATTACCTCCCTGGTCCTAGAGTCAAGGATATCTCAGAGCGGGTACCAGACATTTCGGAGAGGGAGGGTGAACAGCCAGTGGTCGTGGTACACATTGGTACAAACGACATAAGTTAAAAAAGGGATGAGGTCCTAAAAGCAGAATACAGGGAGCTACGAAGAAAGTTAAGAAATCAGACCTCAAAGGTAGTGATCTCAGGATTACCACTGGTGCCACATTGCTAGTCAAAGGATAAATTGGATGAATACGTGGTTGCAATGATGGTGTCGGGAGAGGGTTTCAGATTCCTGGGGCATTCGGACTGATTCTTGGGGAGGTGGGACCTGTACAACTTGGCCAGGTTATACCTGGGCAGGACTGGGACTGATGTCCTAGTGGGAGTGCTTGCTAGAGCGGTTGGGCAGGGTTTAAGCTAATATGCCAGGGGGATGGGAACCTATGTCAGGAGTCGGAGAAGGAGGGAGCAAGGACAAAAACAAAAGGCAGAAAAGGAAATATGAAAAGTGGTGGGCAGAGAAACGAAGGGCAAAATTCAAACTGCAATTGAGAAAAATAACAGCAAGACAAACAATGTTAAAAGGACAAGGTTAAAGGCTTTGTGCTTTAATGCAAGGAGCATTTATAATAAAATGGATGAACTAATCACGCAGATAGATGTAAACGGGTACAATATAATTGGGATTACGGAGACGTGGCTGCAGATAGACCAGGGATGGGGACCGAATGTCCCAGGCTATTCAGTATTTAGGAAGGACAGGCAAAAAGGAAAAAGTGGTGGGGTGGCATTGCTGGTTAAAGAGGAAATTAACACAATAATGAGAAAGAATATTAGCTGTGACAGTGTGGCGTCTGTATGGGTAGAGTTGAGAAATACCAAGGGGCAAAAACCATCAGTGGGTGTTATAGACCCCCAAACTGTCGTGGTGATGTTGGGAATGGCATTAAACAGGAAATTAGAGATGCATGTGATAAGGGAATATTGTTGATCTGCACATAGATTGGGCAAATCAAATTAGCCACAGTGCCATAGAGGAGGAATTCCTGGAGTGTATGTAGAATGGTTTTCTTGACCAATACGTGGAGAAACCAATTAGACAGCAGGCCATTGTAGACTGCGTACTTTGTATGGAAAAGGGAATCATTGCCAATCTAGCTGTGCAAGACCCATTAGGGATGAGCGACCATAACATGATGGAATTTTTTATTAAGATGGAGAGTGAGGTAGTTGATTCGGAGACTAAGGTGTTGAATCTTAACAAAGGAAACTATGAAGATATGAGCTGTGAATTAGCCTTGATAGATTGGCGAGAGTTACTTGAGGGAATGACGGTGGATAGGCAGTGGAAAACATTCAAGGAATGCATGGGCGAACTGCAACAATTGTTTATTCCTGTCTGGCACAAAAGCAAAATTGGTAAGAGGGCCAATCTATGGCTTACAAAGGAAATTAGAGATTGTGTGCTTCTTTCTTGGATCGGATACTGATTGACCAAGAAAAATAATGTGTCTGAAGATTGGGAGCAGTTTAGAATTCAGTTAAATTAAAGAAGGCATATGGTATGTTGGCCTTAAATGCGAGAGGTTTCGAGTACAGGAGCAGGGATGTGCTGTTGCAGTTATACAGGGCCTTGGTGAGGCCACACCTGGAATATAGTGTGCAGTTTTGGTCTCCTTTTCTAAGGAAGGCTGCTCTTTCTCTCGAGGGAGTGAAGCGAAGGTTTATCAGGCTGATTCTGGGGATGGTGGGTCTGATGTATGAGGAGAAATTGACTAGGTTGGGATTGTTTTCGCTGGAGTTCACACAAATGGCTGGGGCGGGGGGAAGGAATCTCATAGACACTGATAAAATTGTAACAGGTCTGGACAGGGTAGATGCAGGGAGGATGTTCCCGATGGTGGTGTCCAGGACCAGGGGGTACAGGATGAGGATTGAGGGGTAGACGATTTAGGATGGAGTTGAGGAGACATTTCTTCACCCAAAGAG